GCAGTTCGAAAGCAAGACATTGCAAGTAGATAAATAGGTACCACTTCGGTGGGAAGGTAAAAGCGTTCCGTGCGCCTTGGTGTTTAGTCATGCCGGCCACATGACCATGGAAACGTCTTCAGACAGCGCTGGCTCTTCAGCTTTGAAACGGAGATGAGCACCGCAACCCTAGAGTCAGATTCGACTGGCTTTCGAGCAAGGGAACCTTTACCTTTACCTAAAAGTGGAAAGCAGTGGCAAATTAGAGCACTACACCCAAAAATAAAGTTCCCCTCAGCTCTTTTTACCTGTATCCAGGTAAGGGGATCTGGCAGCAATGATTATGGTATTGTGTAGCTCAGTGCTAGGTAACCTTCTTGGCCCCAGTGTTGGGAAAAAAATTGCAATGTCTGCCTGTAAAGATACATTTGAAGATCCTGGTGTGCCAGCAAAGAGAGAGCCAGCGTGGTACCGTGGTTAGAGTGTTGGGTGACCTTAGACAGAAGGTTCCAAGTTCTAAATTGAAGACTCAGCGTTTGAAGGAGGTGATGTGAAAGAGCTCCACCTGAGAACTGCTGTAGACCCTGATGTACAGAGAGTCTCACTCCATCTAAGGTAGCTTAATGTGCTCACCTTGCCTTAGTGGCCAATAAGGATTAACAGTTATTGGGCCCGGTCACACGGGGTGGGGGGGGGGAGGGAAGCACGGCCAAAGCGCGGCTTTTCTGAGCCACAGCAAAATAGATGCATGACGGTGGGATCAGACAGATCCCTCGAGCCACTGCGCAGTTGCTCCCCGGCACGATCAGATGCCGGGGGGGGGGGGGGACCCGGGGGCGAGGCTGCTGGCTGCGCATGTGTATGCATGCACAGTTTGGCCGGGAGCCTCAAATGCTGCGGAAGATGGGCGCACCGGCAATCCCACGGCTGCCCTTGCTGTGGAGCTTCAGGTAAGTAGTACTCTTTTCTAGGGTTTTTTTTTTTGTGCGGTTTCACCTGGAAAGGACGGATCGGGGACGGGTGCGCTCTGCTTCCCAGATGTTATGGTGTGATCACACCCGTTTGATGCACCCCTGATCCGTCCCTTTTGCCGGGCAAAACCTTCCATGTGACCGGGGCCATTGTGGTAGCAGTTTATATGGTTTTTACTCCTAAATTAGTGAGAGAGATGTCAGACTCCTGCAGCAATCAGTTCCCAACAACTTTCATGCAAAGAAGTAAAGTAAAGTTTACTGAGACATTGAAGTATGCAGATTATCTTTACACATCTCGTGTTAGAACTGGCAATAAGCACAAACAAGCAGGTATACACAATTCAAGAGGGTCCCGATGGCTGGGAGCCAATCAATGGATAGGTGAAAGCCCGCCAAAGCTAACAGGTCTAGTTTCCAAAGAGAAAGCTGCTGCTAGACACCAAGGCCAAATGGTCATGTTATAGAGATAAAAACCCACAGAAGGCACAGAGAAAGGAAACCTAACATTCCAAAGGAACCCCCCACTCCATGGCAGCTAGAGGCCTTCCCATTTGTAGTAGTAATAGCAAATGCTAATAAAATAAAATGTCGCAAGAGGAAAAAAGAGAGCTAAAATGTCAAGACAGATTTATTTATATACTTCATTTATACCCCGCTATTTTCCCCAGGGGGGATTTAATGTGGTTTACATCATTCTCCTTGACTCCATTTTATCTTCACCGCAACCCTTTGCGGCAAGTTAAGCTGAGAATATGTGGTACAAGCTTCCACAGTGGAGTGGGTGATTTGAACACCCAGCAGATTCAGTCAAGTAATGCTACACACTATAAGGAATTCTACTTAGAGAGCACGTTAAGTCCTTATTCTGGCCTAAGATTTGTTTATAGGCCCACTTTGTCAGGAGTATAAGAAATGCCCACCTGATCTCAAACATGGTAAAGTGTTATGATTAAGACTCTGAACACAAATACCCCTGTCCCTCCTGGGAGAGAGGGTTGTTGTGTTTTTCCAATGGTTGTTCCAGTTGTTGATATTCTGAAACCGTCTTCTCATCTCCACCTTTAATATAATGGCCATCTGGTATCAGTGCTTGGTAACTCATGGTCCTTTTTGCAAAAATTGAACTGTGGGTGGTTTGTCACTTGAGCTAGACAAAGAAGGCCATCTCACAAGGTCGGAGTCACAACAGAGGAATCACATGTATGGGCAGTTGCTGATTTTCCCATTGGCAGGCTGGTGAAGTTGTTGTGGTGGAGAATAGAGAGAGCAGCAGGCACTTGGCTGCACAGTGGCACTTTCAGACACACGTCCTGGTGTCTGGAAGGTGTGTCCACCGCTGCTGGGGTAGGGATGCTGCAAAATCGAAAGCGGCACAGCCCTGTGCACCCCACTGCTGGCTACAGCCCTGCAGAGAAGCAGTGGGGCCTTTGAATGAAATAAGAATAAAGGGGTTGCTAAAGGAAGATGGGGAGATGGCAGAGAAGATCAATGATTTTTTGCTTCTGTGTTTACTGTGGAAAATGTGGGGCACGTATCCATGCCACAGCCCCTATTTTCAGGAAAGGGAGTCTGAAGAACTGAGGTCAATTGTGGTGACCAGAGATGAAGTTCTAGACCTACTGTGGACATTAAAAACCGATGTCTCCAGATCCTGATGTCATACACTCTAGAGTTCTTAAGGAACTCAGATGTGAGATAGTTGATCTACTAACCCATATATGTAACCTGTCACTAAATTAGCTGCTGTAAGACTGGAGAGTAGCAAATGTTACACAAATTTTTTTAAAGGGATCCAGTGGGAAACCAGGAAATTACAGGGCAGCCAGTGTAACATCTGTCCCAGGCAAATTAGTAGAAACTGTAATAAAAGATAGAATTGTTAGGAACTCGGAGGAACAAACCCTGCTGAGGGAAAATCAGCATGGTTTCTGCAAAGGGAAGTCATGCCTCACTAAGCTTTTGGAGTTCTTTGAGAAAGTGAACAAGCCTGTAGACAATGGTGACCCAGTAGATATTATATACCTGGACTTTCAAAAAGCTTTTGACAAGGTACTTCACCAAATACTCCTGAGTAACAGTCATGGGATAAGAAGACAGGTTCTCTTATGGATTATAAACTGGTTAAATGACGGGAAGCAAAGAGCAGGAATAACCAGTTCTCACAATGGGGAGAAGTAAGCAGTGAAGTACCAAAAGGATCAGTATCAGGGCTGGTACTATTTGATGTATCCATAAACAATCAGGAACTAGGAGTAAGTAGTGTGGGGACCAAGTTTGCAGATGATACAAAATTATTCAGGATGGTGAAAACCAAGGCTGACTGTGAAGAGCTCCAAGAGGACCACCGCAAACTGGGTGAGTGGGCGACAGTGGGAAATGAAAGTGTTGTTAAATGTTAGGTGATGCACATTAGGACAAAAAAATCCCAACTTCAAGTATAGGCTAATAGGGTCTGAATGTACTGAGACAGAGAGGGAAAAAGATCTTGGGGTTGTAGCGGATAGCTCACTGAAAGTGTCAACCCAGTGTGCTGCAGCAACGAAAAAGGCAAACTCTATCTTAGGGAATATTAGGAAAGGGACTGAGAATGAAATGGCTGCCATTGTAGTGTCCCTGTGTAGATCTATGGGGTGGCCTCATTTGGACTACTGTGTACAGTTCTGGTCCCCATATCTCAAAAAGGACAGTGCAGAGATGGAAAAAGAACAGAGAAAGGCAACCAGAATGATTAGGAGGTTGGAGCATATACTCTGTGAGGAAAGGCTGGAGTCTGGGGCTTTTCAGTTTAGAAAACAGATGACTATGGGGGGACATGATAGAGGTTTATAAAATTATGCATGGGGAGGTGCCCTGGAATTTATTTGGCACTCTGGGGTCACCCTAAAGGTTGAATCTGGAAACATCCACACCCCAAACCAGAGAGTCCTTAAACAGAAAAACAGAATTCACTTTAATGTGCAGGGGTCCAAGAACACCAGGCTAAGGGACCCCTACAAGAGTTTTACCATTAGTTTTATAGAAGCAGGAATTTGTAGCAACCTCCAACATACACTCCTGACTGGCTAACATATAATTGGTTAAGAACTTGGTGGCCTGATAGGTCCGTGGTGAGAGTTGACAAAGAGAACTTTCTCTCCCTGTTCCAAAATATTAGAACTCAAAGGCATTCATGCACATGAAAGCGCATACCTTGAATAAAACTTCATTGGTGCTACTGGACTCAAAATTTGTTCTACTACACGGCTGTCCACCTGGTTCTATATTCCACTAGCAAGAGACACTTCTACCCTCCAATACAACCGGGTGGTGGTGGGAAAGCTATTATGAATAGAGGCCTGTGAGCAGTTTCCCAGAACAACGTATATTAATTTTTATTCAGGTCTGTTGGCAGCCCTCGGTCCTGGCTCCAGTTCGCTTCCCATTTATTTGCAAAGGAACAATTCCTCCACAACAGCTGGCCCTGCATGTCTTGCCTCAGCCTGCCCAACGACCATTTAAAGCCTGAAGGGAAAGCCCCGTCTCCAACATGGAGACTCAAAAACAACGAGGTGCTGGCAAAACGCTACATGTGCAACAAGAGAGGGCGAAAGCGATTGGGCCGCTACCCAACAGGTCCCATCACAACACCAGCAGGTTATTGGTTCGCTTCGTGCCAATCAAAACTCGTACTTCCCTTCTTCCTGAGACTAATATGGGGTTGCCATGGTATCTCACCCTTTAAATCTTTTTATATGTCCCGCCCATTTGGCTGAGGGCAGGGCCTCGCTCGATGCGCTTTTTTAAAGGACCTTTATTTCGTCTCCCTGTGTAGAGAAAAGGGATTGGATACACGAATCCAACAACGCGGAGTTCGATTGGATATTATTTTGTCTTTGAACAACTCCCCCCCCCCCCCAGCACGTGCCTATAGGCTAGATTCAATGTCGGTCCGAGAAAGGCAATCCAGGATTGGACCGACCTTTCACCATTGTTTCCTCTTTAAAAGTACCGATTGGGCGGTTCGGTTAGGGGTGGCCCCGCCTTTCTCAAGGAGGCTTATCTGCGCGGTCTAGGAGGCGCATCTTCGGTTAAGTTGCTCCTCTTTTTCTCCCGTCAGCCCTTTCGCCGAGTGGGCGGTGCTTGGGTGAGCTGAGGCAGAGCGAGCGAGGCAGGCCTGGGTCGTGTGTCGGCTGCGCGCGCCGCTCCCCTTGTCTTCTCGCTCTCTCCGGCGCTGCTTGTGCCAGCCGCCTCCATTCCCTGCCTCCTTCCCCGCGGCGGAGCCTTCCGTCGAGGCCCTCCCCCCCGGCGTCCCACCCCTTTTCTCTCTCCCGGGCGGCCGTTCTTTGGCGGCTCCTGCCGTTCTCACGCTTGGGTTTTTGCTCGGTGGGAGGCGGACATGTCGGCCTCAGCGACGGCCCCGGCCCCTGCGGAAGCGGCTGCTGGCGGCGGCGGCGGCGGGGGGGACAAGCAACGCTCCTCTTCCGCCACGGCCGCGAGCGCCGCCTCGGCCACGGAGAGCATCGACCTGCTGGAGAAGTGCGGCGTCTGCCGCGAGCGCCTGCGCTCCGAGCGGGACCCGCGCCTCCTGCCTTGCCTCCACACCGTCTGCAAGGAGTGCCTGAAGACCGAGCCCGCCGCCGCCGGAGGGGGCAACAACAAGGAGGAACAAGGTGAGTCGGGCGGCGATTCCCCCCCCCCCCGGAGGGGGGAGAGCAAGGGGGG